AAGTATATTAATTTGATTGCATTCGGTTCAAGAGCTGCTGCATAGATACCTCGTAATTTGTAAATATGTTAGTGGTGCAATGAAGAACAACTAACTGTATTATATCAAGCACCAGCATCTGCATATAAAAACCGGTCCTCTTTAACAACTCCATTGAATTTCTTCGTGATTTTTGTGTTACATTTGATTGAAGACGCTTTACAATGCTCAAGAATTTGATTAATGTAGCGAGTTGAGACAATCAATCATTTTCTCAGTTAGAAAGTTGAGAGAAAAATCATCAACTGGGACCGCCATTCCAACGTGTTATCGTCAAGCTCTGAGCCAAATTACTTAAATGCCGAATAGTTGAATTTTAATGCCGAGTGATCACCTCCGAATTTTCAGTACAAATGAATTCCGAATTCATCAGATCGATTAAAATTTCGCGTAGTTGGGGTGTTTGAACAACAAGCAATCTGTCATTGTTTCAGATCAAAAGAAAGCTTTTACTATTGTTTGTTCAGTTTCAGTTTACACAGTGTATCCATTTATTCCAATTCCCAGCTGCTCTATCCATTTAAACCAATTGAATAAAAACGATGTACATTTATTAGGTAAGATTAAATCCGTTACGTTCGTCGATATTGGTTCGTAAAAACAACTGCTATTATACGAGCAAAACGCGTGAATTTTTTCCGAACTTCTCCTATGTTCCAAATCACATCTAAATGCGTAGACTTAATATCCGTTAGTGTCTCGAACAAACGCCAAAAAGAAACATTTCGTACCGCTGTGGTTAAATGACTCATAAAACCAGCCCACAGTTCAAATACCTTTCATCGCTGATGTTTCAGCAGTGAACGATTCCTGAAAGGTGACACCATCGAGTGTTTAAAACTTCTGGAACAGAGATGGATGGAATATTGATGAAAAAACAATTCTCGACTACTCCAGATGTTCGAAGCTAAGGTTTCTGACACACGTATCTCATGAATACAAATCAAAGGTACACGTTCCTCCGTATGCATTGGCAGTTGTTTAAACCAGCAGATTGATGCAATTCCTGATATGATTGGTGCATTTCTTTGCAAATGATATTCATCATATTGCCGAAGTTACGACAGTACGATGTTACATCTTTGCGTGAATTACCATTATACGTTCGAGTATTTATGTGTGCAGTTCATCTTGTTTTCAACCCGATGTTAGAACCACTCGTCACTACGGATCGGTCAATATTCAAATACTGGCTTTAGCTTAGTGAACTGAGATTTTGATTTTGTTAGCATTTTCGAATCATGAATATTCTGCTCATCGAATGAATGAGCGTCGGTGAAGATCGAGAATAGCCTTAAAGGGAGATCAATGTTTTGACAGATATCATTGCAGGGTTGATTAACTCACATTAACCATCAGCACAACTTTTAAGCTTATGAATTGATAAGACACATCCAAAAAAAGACAATTAGGAAGCAATTATCACTGTTACGGTAATGACGAAAAGAAAAAAATTTGAAGAAATTTGAATAAAAAGATGGATTTCATTGAAGAAAAAATGGAGCAAATCTCATTCAGTTGAAAAATAACAGGATTTTTGAAATATCAGGCCAAAGTTCGAAAAAAAGCGAAAACTTAGTTGTTCTCGGATATGTGATCTAGCTGAAACGAGAAGGTTCTCATAATGAAAATTATCGTTGAATACTAGATCAAAAAAAAATTGCCATTAGTCATTTGAAACAGATATCTTTTCAAATTCTTATACGATAGGTACAGCTGATACAGTGAAATGAGCTATAAATGGAAATCGTTACATTTTACTCTGATTGATTACAAGTGCTGAATGTGATCATAAAATAATCCAAAATTAAGTTGTTAAATGACATGTTTTTGGTTTTAAGTTACATTTAACAGTGAGCAATTAAAAAAAAACGAGTTTCAATTGGCTGTCTCACATTGATTCCAATTATTGCATTACTTCATTCATTCAAGAATTGTTTCAAACGATTGCAAGGTTTGCGAAACATATATGTGTGCGTAGTAATCTATATATTTTAAGTAATAAATCACGGCACCAACTCAATTTTCTTCTCTCCACTTTCTCGAACAGATATATTATAAGACAGATCCAGTTTGAATTTCTGAACATACTTACAAGAAATACACATTTTTCTAAGAATGAAATCATCGAATGAATTTGCCCCCATCTGCATATTCGCTGAATAATCATGCTCTCCTCTCAGCTTGCTTGATTTGATAGGTGCTTTGACAATGCGTGACCGATACATTCCTCAAAGACAGAGACAAGCATCGTTCTCTATGAAGTGAAAAAATCTGATGGGCATTTGCGAGCAGTTCCCTCATACCCTTATTCAGCTAATGTGATCATGTGTATGCTGAGTCAGTATTCGTTGAACAGTGATCAGTGAATATTCGCTCCCTAACAATCCGCTTGTCTCGTCTCAATAATCCTTCCGTTTGACAATAACAATGTATTTGCACACGTCATTAATTCACGATAATTCGTGGCATTCATCAGCATTTCAATGACACTGAACACTGAATAGAAACGGCAACAGATCGATGTGCATGTGGCCGTTTTAGACGAAACTGATGGAAGTTAGATAACGTTCAAGCAATTGCATCTTTATTAAACTGTAAGATTCACAGAATTCGTTGTTATAGCTCAAAGAATTTTCATTTCAATTCCTACAGGATTTCATGTGTGTTAAAGCGACAGAAATAATGACATTAGATTGAATCGACGAACCTTTGAATTCCCAGTTTAAGCATGCCTTGTTTTGAGTGCATTTTTGATTGGACCATGCGTATGTTCATACTGGCACATGCTTCTCCATTGATCGACTCTAGTATGTCACCGATTTTGATGCCCTCACGGTCGGCACGGCCATTAGGCAAAACCTGACCGTATGGAAAAATGAATGGACAGATTTTCTTGAAAGATAAATTCTGTAGTCAGCATATCAATTCCCTCAAATCCTTTATTTCGCTCAGAAGCAAAACTCGTAGAGGGAGAGTGGTTCAACTGCCTGCTTTTTCCCACTGAACTGATCATCCGATGTAGTATTTAAGATTAATGTATTGTATTTTCAAAAGTGACGGTCGGCAAGATGAATTTGGTACGCTAGAGTGACCAATTTTTTAATAATGGCAAAATGAATCTTTGAAAAGTGCAGAACAATATATCTTTTGACTTAAAAGCATTTCGTACGAAATCTCGCTCAAAAACTTTGCTTTGAAAAATCGCCCGGTCAAATTGTATTTTGCCTCAACTGCATTACTTTTGGAATTTTCTCGATTCCACTCTCCAATATTTGCATTTTTGAATTTTTGTGGCAGCAACTGATGTCTTTCGTAAAAGATCAGGTTAAAAGGTCGCATCAGCTGCACTGCACCTTGTCATAACAAGAATCTAACCCAGCCACCTTTCAGACCAATTTTTTGAGTCGGAAACGATTGTGTTTCTACATTGAATGGGATCTTCTTGAAAAGGGAGAGGAGGGAGGAAGGGGGGGGGGGGGGGGGGGGGGGGGGGGGGAGGAGGGAAGAGGCAGAGAGACTCCTCGGAAATTGCGAAATACGATTTATGATGTCTCTGCCTAAAAATAATTTTTCGAATTGAATTTGTCAAAGCGAACTTTCAACTGGACTGATTTCATGCCAACTGGCATATTTTTTGAGCTCAGTCCTGAGAAATTCCGATTGTCGAAAGAAATTGTCACCTGATTGTTCGTAAAAGGTTTGGTAAGTCAATCACGATTAACAAATGCATTTTATGAAATGGAACGCAAGAAACTGACCGAAAAAGTGCAACATTGCGTTGAAAAGTCAAGAGGCCATGTTAAGAAAAGCCAATTGATGCGAATTTCCATAATTGGAGACATTCCTGATAAGAGATTGACCTGAAGAGCTCACCTGCGCCACAATAATAGATCCATCATTTGTGGTAGCGAATCGAAGACCCCAGGGTGGACCTCCAGTGAGGCATACGGATCGTAGCATCATAACGCTTCAGCTACGAAATGATTCAAAGCACCCGTGGCGAATAATTTTGTGATATATCCTTCAACGAATTGACTTGGAGTACAGTTGAATAATTAGGGATATTGATGATCACGAAAGGATGCGATTGCCTGTGAGTAGCCGCAGGCTATGATCCATTAAAAATACTATCCGTATTACTACGAGTGTACATTTGTGAGCATACTCCAGAACTATTACACACACACTCAATTTTAACACTTTCAATCAACGAAATTCTCAAACAAACAGCTTCGCACCTTTGAGATGCTTTTATCAAATAGACTCTCTTCGCTTCCTCACTGAATAAGCAAACCACTTGTGCCATGTAGATTATCTATTAAACTTTTTATTCATCCGTTACTAGCACGAACACTAACTAACATCTGAGCGCAGTTGAACTTTAATGTCTTTACGATTGCTTGGCATCTCACACTCTTCCTCCAACTTCCTCCAACTGCTCCAACCTTACACTGCCAGATCTTCGAGCGTTTCTTAAAATATCTCATCGTCAGCAATCACAACAAACGCTTGTTTTCAGTGGGATTATTATGCGTGTTTCGTCTGCTTTCGTATAATTTCAGAAGTGTTCCCCTTTCAGCACATGTTCAATTGAAGGGATTGTTAGGAAACAGTCACTCATTTACTTCAACAGTCAAGATGGATAGCTCATCGACTGCTAGGTTGCTTTGCTTAGATTTCATCGAGATAGCCAGTGATTAAAATCGCTCTGTTGCGAGTGAGTTAGTCAAATTTGCCGCATTCCCTGCACGAATCGTATTCAAACTGCATGCCATCAAACTTCAATAGCGATCGCAACCGAACAGTGTTCGCTATAATCCGGATCCGAATTGCCTTGTTGATAATGCAGGGGAATATCATTTGTACAAACAATATCATAATCGGTTTTCCGTTCAGTTTTTCAACGTATGCGCGAATATTACTATTAGAATGTTATGTGTGCATTGTAGTGTATTTTTATGCGAAAGTAAATGATGAACTTGCGTGAATCTTGTGATCCTTTACAAATTTGAATCGTCGACACGTCGTTATCTTCGTATTCTATTTTCAGATTGCCACCTTGGAGGTGTTTTGAAGCCGGAAATAGCTGATTAGTTCACGAAAAATTCCAGCAAATTTCTTTTTCAGAGGATGGTGGAGTCGCGTCGTGTAGCTGGAGGACGCGGCAAGAAAGCGTCGCCTCCATTCCTCTCGCATGAGTTCATTATTCAGAATCATGGTGATATTATGTCATGCATCCTGATGGTCGTCATTGTTGGTCTTCTGTTCCAGGTATGTTTTCAGATTCATTCGAATTTTTCTTATCTCATGTTCCGTCGTCTACACTCTGCTGATTCACAGTGACAAATGTTGCGAGCATCATCAGTTAGGGATTTTAAAGCATGATAAATCTGATTATTCCTGACGACAAGTTATGAATCCCGTAGTAAACGATTAATTTGAGACAAGCGCTGTGTTTCTAGACCCATCATATCCATATTGTAATGCTCATTCTAATCTAACTTCAGGCAACGTCGTCTTTCGCGAGCATTTTCGTTGTGCCGCAGTACAATGAAACGATTGCATTGACGCCAGATGCAGGTTATTATTCTTAAATTTAATGCGAACGACTGCATCTTGTTTGAAAATCGACTTGAATAATCTTTCAGTATGCTCCATTTGATAGAATCTGAAAAGGATTTCGAGTGTATCTAAAACTCTTCTATTTTCAGAACCAACACCTTACTATCGCACCGGCATTAAAGATATCGCAGCAGTTGCATTCTATGCAGTTGGATGGATTACGGTCCATGCAATTCTTCAGGAGTATATTTTCGATAAGCTCCAACGTAAATTCCATCTGAGCAAAACGAAAATGAGCAAATTTGCCGAATCTGGGCAGCTTTTCGTCTTTGCAGTCTATTCGGCTATTCATGCTGGTGAGCTTTGAATGCGTTGTTACAATTTTACAATAGGTTCATATTTATGAAATTGTAAAATTGGTCTAGCTGAATAGTGAAACGATAAAATGTAGAAGTTTTTCAGTTGCTTTATCTTAATCGAGCCCCCTTTCGCTGTGAGGTTCACTTCAGATGTCTTCTCGGTAGTATACCTCTAGATGCAAGTCATTCTCATTTAATGGTTGTATTATAGGTTATGTGTTGCATGATCTGCGTATTCATACGGATGTCACCAAATTATGGGTCGGTTATCCAGAAATCCATCGCCATCTCACTCTGCACGCAAAACTCTTCTTCATCTTCCAGGTTTGCTTGCTTGAAACAATTCTTTTTAGTGAACACTCCTTATGATTAGAACAGTCGACTCTATCTTCTATAAATACATTTTAGATTGCGTATTGGGTACATCAATTTCCGGAATTTTACTTCCAAAAAGTACGCCGTGAGGACATGCAACCAAGAACAGTCTACTCACTCATTTATCTAATATTCACAGTTGCCGCCTATGTGATCAAGTTCGTTTTATGGGCATTATTTTGTTTCGCCGAATCAAATATACAGTTTTAATTTGGGGTTGTATTAAGATGAGCGCTTCTTTTCTGGGATTGTTGAGACGAGATCATTCTCGATATTTTTGAGAGCGTTGATGGATCTGAAGTCGCATGGTTGAAGATCATTAATTAGCCATCGTCAAGAGAATTACCTGCCTCAGTAACGAATGTTTTAGCTTCTGAAAAGTTTAATCGAGTTTCAGTTTCAATCGCTTGGCAATGGCCTTGCTGTTCCTCGAGTACATTTCGCAGTCTGTTTTCCATCTGACACGACTCTTCCACTTCGCCGAAAAGTGGAGTTTGGCTAAAACTGGGTGTGTTTGTTGCTCTTTATTTTTCGAAATAATGAAAATCAATCTCTTCTGGTTACTTCAGTCGAGGTTTTGTGCAGTGTTATTGAACATGAACTTGAAAGTGCTTCGTGCTTCAGCCACTTCACTGTTATTTGTGGTTGAAATTATAAATTTGAATTCAGATTTAAAATCTGGAATGCGGTCTTTATGCTCGTTAGACTGGCCAGTGCTGTGATTGCGGTTTTGACTCTGTGGTATGGTCTTCGCTCGAATGAAACTCCGTACATGGATTTAGCCAACGGTAATTTCAATACAGCTTTCATCCGGTGAGTGTTTGATTGTTTGATTTCGTTTATCTGATTCATTTTAGAGCAGCACTCGGTTTGCACTGATAGATTTTTGAGCAGTTAATCTCTTCTTGCCGATATATATGATTAGCTAAAGCAGTGATCCAGTTGGTGATTTCAAATTCTGCTCAGTAAGGATGCAACGGTGCTTTGAAATTTAAATGTTTCATCCCGATTGAAGGTACTATCCATGCCATAGTACGTTAAGACTTATGCTTGGGCTATTCAGTGATATTCTTCGTGAGAGCTTGGTGTATTCGAGAATTTGATTTTTGACGAGTTGATTTGGGAAGTTTCTCTTCAGTATATGCGTACACATTTCGAATGTTTTCGTTTGCAGATTGAACAGTATGCTGTGTGTGTTGGCGCTACAACTCTACATGCTATGGAATTTTGTACTGTTCCATGTTCGTCGCTACAGAGAGCGACGCATTAAAACGAAGGCTGAGAAACAACCGAGAGTGCAACCGAAGAAGAAGAAACACAATGTTGATGATGTGAGCTGAAGCATTGTTATTTTGTTATCTCAACGGCTAAGAATATTTTTTAAAAAGTTTTCGTCGAATATTCCAGTTTATGTTTTTCACTTTTGGCTTTGTTCATTCATTCAAAATGATGTGTGATAAGCAAGTGATCTGTGTAATGGTAACATACAAAAGCAGAACGTTGAGGCTTTTCTTTGATAAGCTCTTCATCACCTAACCATTATCGTCTTTGTTGTGACGATATGGATTGTCGAGAAAGTTCATCATTATGCAGTGGTTTATCCCGAGGATGTATTTTTACTGGGATGTATTTCAGGTGCGTGATCTGCCAGAAGCAGATCAACATTCGAAGAAGAAAGTCAACTAGAGACGGCTTCGTCATGGTGGTATCAGAATGCAGGATTTGTGGGCTGTGGTGGCGATGGTGTTGGCATGCTTGAGACGAGTTTCTGTTGGGGTCGAATCGATTGTGCGATTCAGTTATTTATTCTTGTTTGATTTATTTTCAACTTCTGTCTGTCAAAATTGCTCGTTCGTTCACCGTCCTTTTGCTTCGTGCGCTTGTTTCTTTGCGATGAACGACCTTCTAACTCATTTCATCTTTCAGAAGTTTCCTTGTTATTAAATTCTGTTTATTTCTTTGAGAAAGGGTAATGTTTTCCTTTTGAAGTTCGGTTCAAAAGTGAACAGCTGGATTCATTTTATTCATCAAACGCATCATTCGTTATTTTGTTCCATATTTTGAACCTGAACATCTGAAGAATAATCTCGAAAGGATTGTTCTGTTATCAACGTATCACCAATGCTGAAGGCGAATGGCGATAGAGTTCGTTTCCTGAATGTTTAATAGGAAGTTTGAGTCTAGGAACAAACTACATAGCCTTTAGGCTGCATAATTTTCAAGAAATTCAGGTTTTAGTCTGGCAACTAGTGAAATAAATTGTAATATGAGGTAGAACGATCCCCGACAATCACTGTTCTAGTTGAGAGTTGATTCGATTGTAAACGCTGACGCATAATTCATGGTTTTATCGTATTTTGATAGGCTTTTTTTCAGTCGCCGTTGTCTCAAGTTGTGATATCTTTTGCGTTTCTGCCACATCTTTTTCGAGATTTGTGGGCGTAAAGAATTCTTTATTTATTCACTCAATTCATTCAAATCCTCACTGTCTGTTATTATAGGGCACAAGAGTTGGTATCCTCATGAATGTTGCATATTGTTCAGTTCTTATGAACAGATTCTCTGTCAGAAACATCTGCATTCATTTCTTTCTTTGATTGTTGTTGTTTCGTTGGCGTTATGTTGATTTGTAAAGCTGGTTCAGTCAGCACAGTAATTTTATTTTTTGTGTTTGTTAGATTTTATTATCATTGAAGTTATTTATTCGATAACACATAACCAGTTGCATCTCTCACTCCGATCAACAGTTGTTTTGCGCGTTAATTGTTGGTGTTTTTATTTTGTAATTAATGTTCTTCAATTGTTTCATTCGTTTACTAATGTGATCTATCTGTGTTATTTGTGGTGATAATAAATTTTTCTTTTCCGTCGGTCCTTGTTGAACACAGCTATGACCTACTAATGACTGTAAAATGTTGGTGAGAAATAACAAATTTCTGAAGAAAATATAACTATCAATGAAATCGGTGAGGAATTACTGACAGTGATGAGCTCGTTTTGCCGAATGAGTGTGCGGTTGGATGGACATGGCTGAGAATACAAGTCGATATGTTACATTCATATTTAGAGCAGTGAGGATTATTTGATAGAGGAGAAGCACGATTTCCATCAGAAAAGTATTAATACGAAGACTGAATGCGTTTTCAGAAGCGGTGTATTCAAACGTTATAAGCAATTGAATTTTTATCTAGGTTGTGTATGCTGTGATTGATTGAAATCGGACAGATTGAACATGCGGCTACTCATATATGAAGAAAGTGTTTAATTGTTCGTCGATTACATCTGATTGATGTGAAGCCGGAGGGTCGTTGGAACTAGCATACAGAGCCATTTCATGAAAGAATTGAAGACCTTTTTCGAACAGGTAAAACAAACAGCCGAAATATTGATTACAATAATGAGCTATGATAAAGACAGAAAAAACTCCAGAGCGCAATTTTCCAGCAAGACATTCTCATATAATGGGTGAATGTGTTCCATAGCGAGCCTGATGTCCTATGAAGTTGTTAGATGACATTCTATAGACTACAGACTACAGCAATATATCGGTTACCACCATCGAGGCAACCGTGTTCTCAGGTTTGCCCAGTAACATGTGAATTATTTTGCATCATTCGATCCAGCTGGATCTCTACATTCAGGAAAACATATATATTGCCGAGTGATTTTGCTTAGCTGAGCA